GTTCGAGGCCAGCCTGGTCTACAGAGTGAGTTCCAGGACAGCCAGCGCCACACAGAGAAACCCTGTCTCAGAAAACAAAAATAAAACAAAAAAGAAAGAATGAGAGAGAGAAATCGAGAAAAGAGAAGAGAAAACAAGAACAGGGTGTATTTCAAGGTCAGCTGTGTTGAACAGAGAAGCTGAAAGACAATCAAAACTAAAAGGTGACCGTGGTTCACAACGATCCTTGGTGTGAATTCCAACCTTTTACCTGGACCTAAGACAGCTTGTCTGACTCCAACCTCATGGAGACAGATCTCGCCAGCCTAGGGATTTTTTTGTTTCCCAGTTGTTCTAATGCTGTTCTCACCTCAACTCAGGCACCCGAGGCTCTTCCTGAGCTGTCTTCTATGTGGCACCTTCTGCCTTCCGTCTCTCACTCTCCTCTACTCTGAAGGGCTATCACCAGCCCTGTCCTATCCGGTGTTGCCCTGGGCTATCACCAGTCTCTCTCGTTGTAACCTATTTGATTTCAGCATGTGACTAGCACCTTCTTATTCGTGGGTCTCTCTCTCTTCTACTATACATGCTCTCTTCTCACTCCAGTCTGAGATGAGCGAAGGTGGCACTTCATGGACCAAATGTTTCTAGAACCAACCAGAAATTTCAGGAAGACCGGTGAGCCTTTCCTTGTTCCAGTCAGACCCCTGCTGAAGTGTGAAGCCGCTTCTCTCCATTCCTGGGTGGTGCTGCTACAGTCCCTTGCCTGCTGTGAGTCTCTTGGACTCGTTATTAACTCTCTCCACAGCTTGACTGACTTTTCACCTCAGAGACACCCCATGGGAGTTTTTCTCTGCATTTCTGCAGGCTGCTCTATGTCCAGAGCATCTGAGAAGGGTACAGAAGATGAGGCATGGGGCTGTAGGCAGGAGGGGTGGAAACAGTTGTCTTAGGGTTTCACTGCTGTGAAGAGACATCATGACGACGGCAACTCTTACAAAGGACAGCATTTAATTGGGGCTGGCTTACAGGTTCTGAGGTTCAGTCCAGTATCATCATGGCAGGAAGCATGGTGGCACCCAGACAGGCATAGTGCAGGAAAAGGAGCTAAGAGTTCTTTCTACATCTTTATCTTCAGGCAGCAGAAGGAGACTACGTCCCACTCTGGACACAGCTTGAGCACATCCCTACAGCATCACACTTCCTCTAACAAGGCCACACCCACTCAAACAAGGTCACGCCTCATAACGGTGTCAGTCCCTATAAGCCAAGTTTCCAAACACATGAGTCTGTTGGGGCCATACCTATTGAAATGACCACAACAGTAAAGGCTGTGACACTGAGTGGGGCATGAACTGGAGTGGCAGAATCCCCAGATGCTAATGAGGGAGGTTCTGTAGTTTAAAAATAAAAGGAAAGTAAGCCCGCCTGGGCCAGGGATGTGGCTCAGTTGGAAGCATGCTTTCTAGTGGGCATACAATGTCCAGGATCACATAAAGCAGGTATGGTAGCATACCCCATATTCCCAGCACTTGGGAGGAACACACAGGAATGTCAGAAGTTCAAGGTCATCTTCTGCTCCACAGTGGGTTCAGGACATGCCTTCTAACATTTAAGTACACAGAGCCTGGGTGCTGAGGGGCACAGACCTCAAGGTTTGGGTTGACACTCCCAGGAAATTGTACAAAGAAATTGTGTTTGGATAGATTAATATTTTACACTGCAGCTATTTCTACCTAAATCTCCCTAATTTTTCTGCTCACAGTTTACCTCTCATTTACATATATGTGGAAATAATGTCATGTTTGCGTGCGTGCGTGCGTGCGTGCAGCTGCCGTCAGAGTACAGAAGGGGGCGCCAGTGGGCACTGGATTGTGGTTACTGAGAGCCTGTTTCGGAGGACTGTGATAGGAGTTGTATTTGTCCATGGAAGTTTTGCTAAGTTTCACCAACTCAGACTTTGCATTTCATTAAAAAATTCCACATCACAGGCAGCCCCTCCTTCTGCGCTTGCCACAGTGAACCCTCCCTCCCCAGCACAAGCCCCTCTAACCTGCTATTTCCTATTGCATGCCTTATTGTTTCCTTTGCTAAGGTAAAATGTGCAAAGGGCCGCCCACTGCTATTTCTCCTACCAGTCAGGTAGCCTCATGTCCAAAGACTTCTCTCTGGCCTGTTATCTATCCCAGGATGGATTTACCTCAGCACTGACATCATCGGCACGACCAGACACAATCCAGAAAGAGAAGCTGATCTCACTTCAACTGTTTAAATCACAAATCGGTGTAGAGTACCCACACTAAAGTCACAACCGCTTAGACGTGGCATTCATCAGCTTGGAAGAGGCCCCGCCAAGCAACAGCTCTGAGCTGTGCCTTAGGTGACCGTGTGTGTTGGAGACGGCAGGGACCCGCTGAGCTGAGTGTAGCTGGAAGAGAAAGGAGAGACTTTGCCTCACAGGAACCCTTATTTAGAACCTTTTCAAGTCCTTAAATCATAGAAGGCAGTGCTAATCCACAGGTATTTCCCCAGCAGGTCTGCCTGCCCCTGGCTTTGCCAGCTGTCCTAGTTGGTTTTCTGTTACTGCGGTAAACACTATTGCCAAAAGCGCCCTGCGGGAGGAGAAGGTTTACTTCCACTTACAGTATACATTCCATCGTGGAGGGAAGTCAAGGTGAGAACTGAAGGGAGGGGGCGTGGAGGAACGCGGCTTGGTGGAGGAACACGGCTTGGTGGAGGGGGGGTCATGGAGGAACACGGCTTGGTGGAGGAACGTGGCTTGGTGGAGGGGGGCGTGGAGGAACACGGCTTGGTGGAGGAACACGGCTTGGTGGAGGGGGGGCGTGGAGGAACGCGGCTTGGTGGAGGAACGCTTGGCTTGCCCAGCTTGCTTTCTTAGGCCACCCAGGACCCCCTTGCTCATAGTGGGCTGGGCCCTTCCACATTAATCATTGATCAAGGAAACGCCCCTACAGACTGGCCTACAGGCGAGTCTGATGGAAGCAATCCCTCAATTAATCTTCTGTCTTCCTAGGTAATTCTAGATTTATGTCCGGTTGACAAACAAACAACCAAACCAAAATCAAAACAAACAAAACAAAACAAAAAACCCTGCCTAGCACACCAGCTTGTCCTGTCAAGACCTCTGAAGAAAGACACGCAGAAGGAATCCTTGTTGCTCGGTAGAGCAAACTAAACCCTCATCCAGCCCCTGACCTTTTCTCATTTCCTCTGTTTATTATTTTTCTTAATCTCTAGTAATGTTTTCCACCCCAAGGCTTTTCAAGCAAAGCCATCCATCTCCTCTGGTTGAGACTGGGATTTGTTGGTAACCCCCTTTCCCCCAAGAAGTCTCAAGAACAGTCCATTTGACAAACCAAGAGATTTAACACCCACCTCCTCCACCAGCCCCAACTGTGTTACTTTAAATCGCCTTTGTGAGATGTGATTCAATGGGCAGTTAGAGTTTGTAGGGTTAGAATTTGACCTGGAACGTGGCATTTGGGGGCCTCTAATCTATTGTCAATAAAGACTGCAATAAAGAGTCCACAAACGCAGACTCGGAGTGTAAAGGGACCTGCCATCATTTCTAACGACATGGATTCGATCCCTGGGACCCACATGGTGAAAAGAGAAAACCAACTCTCTACCACAGGCTGTTCTCTGACAGAGGCAAAGCCACTGCGGCATGTGCTCTACCTCCTTAAATAAATAAATAAATAAATAAATAAATAAATGTAATGAAACAATCATGAAGACAGAATGTGGTTTTCGCAACTTCCTTGGAAGAGTGACATGGTTGCTGGGCAACCATACAACACACGGGGTTGGGGGAGGACCCTCACCAGCAAAAAACGATCTGTAAGAAATTAGCTTGGATAACCTTCATTCTCTCCCCTCTCCTTGAGTTGGTATCAAGAACTATGTAAGGGAAAAAAAATACTTCCATTTATTCACTAACGCATTCAGTGGGAGCTGGTTTGTAATTGATGTGTGGGTGTGGGTGAACAGTCCCTTCACCCACCCTCCGCGTCGGGGGTTGCTGAGGCTGTGAAACAGACTGTAGGTGAGCAGAATAACAGAAGATGTACTTGCATTGACGGTGCGCATGCGCCAGGTCGAGAGCCGTGTGAATAGCAAGCGAGCAGTCAATGAGATAAGGAAGCATCTGCAGTATCTTCATAAGAGACAGGTGGGCAGCTCAGGAAGGAGTACACGGTTGGGGGAGGATGACTGGGTCTTCAAAATAGGCAACAATCAACTCGGTGTGGGGGAGACCTCCGGTCTCCTCTCCCATTGCATGAGCTGATTTTCCCTAATTAGATTTCAGGTAGCGATGAGGCTCCCTTAGGGGAATCCATTCCTAGAAGACTCAGAGAGGTAGAGTAGAGGCAGGTAGAGTGGAGCCGGGCTCATAACCCAACGGGGCTTATAACCCAACGACTATGAAGCTGAGGTAGGGGATCTTGAGTTCTAGTCTAGCCAGAACGAGACCGTGTCAGGTGGAACATGCCTAGTGCCACAGAAATGTGTACGCTGTGTGTGGTAGAACTCCACGCAAGAAGCCCCTTCCAGCCGGTGTAAAAAAAAAAAAACTTAGGTGGACTGTACATAAGAACCTTCTCCCTGGCTCAGGATGTGAGCAAATGAGAACCCCCACAGGTCATTGACAGGCAGACAGAGGGCCGGTAAGGAAGGGAAATGAGAAGAAGTCAGGAGAGGAAGGGAGTAGAGCTGTGGTGACTAATCTTGCTTGTCATTCGGAGTTGGGCACTCCTGAGAGAGATTTTCTTGATCAGATTTTCTGAAGCAGGGAGACCCATCCTAAATGTGGGAGGCAGCTTCTGGTGGCAGCCCACGTAAAAGTCCCTAGAGGTGGTGGTGGGGAGTTTACTTTTTTGCCTGCTTACCTTCACTCTTGCTGGCAGGTTTATCTCTTCTGCTGCTGCAGCATACCTTCCACAATACTAGAGTAAGCTTCTGGATTCCAATGCAGACTGAAGCTCTCCAAGAAGCCTCCAGGCCTTTGGTGTCAGACTGTGACTGATGACACAAGCAGTCTCGTGGACTGAACAACCACAGTGGGAGACAAACGTTGGACTACGAGGTCCACATATCCTGTAAGCCACTCTAACACATCCTTTTTTAATATGTGTATTCGTTCTCTCAGTTCTGTCCCTTTAGACATCCTGTCTAATAAGATGAGGAAGGAAAGGAGAGGAAGGGGAGAGAAAGGAAGGGGAGGGAATGGTCACTAAGAATTTGTTGTCTGGAGAGATGTCTTAGCCAGTAGCATATCCATCATGCAAACACAAGGTGCTGATTGGATCCCTACCAATCACCTGAAAAGCCAGGTACGGCAGCTTGTGTCTGTTTACTGCAGCGTTGGTTGGGCAGAGACAGGTGGCGTCCTGGAGCTCGCTGGCCAGCCTATTTAGTTAAACCGTTAAGATCTAGGCTCGGTGAGAGACCTTGTCTCAAAAAACACCATGGAGAGCTATCAAGGACAGTAAACATTAACCTCTGACTTCTATGTGTATCACACACACACACACACACACACACACACACACACACACACGGTCGAGGGAAACAAGGCTGATGACCATTTTAAAAATAAGCCCCTGACTTACTTTCCATGTATAAAGAGCCTCTTCATCTCTAGTTTACAGATTGTGATATTGACATCCAGGGAGGGTAGGTGACTTGTCCAAATCCTCCAAAGTAATTGAGTGTGGGAGTGTCTGGCTCCAAGGCTGTGTTTTCTTTACTGTGTCACGTTGCCAAGTGACCATGGAAATGTTGCTATCAGAACCGACTTGGCGGGGAAGGTTCGGGAAGCTGCTGTGGTATTCTGTTTACATGTTTATCTGCTTATTCTCCTCAGTGTCTCTGCAGGGGTGCTGGATCGCCTCATCCCCTGGGTGTCTCGGGGTGTTTCTGTGTGATGATGGATACCACATGCCCATGTGGACACAAAATGTTGGGGATGCCATTCTGCAGCATCCCCCACAGACATGAGCAGGTCACAGGGTGCCTTGGGCTGTCCGGTTCCTTCAGGGTAGCTGGATCCTGCAGGGGATCAGAGCCCTGGCCAACTCTGTCCTGGTTGAACATTCCTTCCGCTCCTGTTCTGATGCCTGGCTGCAACAGACGGTGGCTGCTCCGTGTTCAATTTGTGGACAGCCAGGAATTTCTGGTGGGCCCACCACACACCAGTCGGCAGGCAGCCCTGTGATGTGGCCAGGACCTCAACAGGTCAGGTCTGAGATTCTTTCCTTTTGCTCTGGGGCAACTACTGGCCATTCTGTCTCCCCAGGCGCCTTTCTAGAGCACCAGTGTCTATCTCCTTTGTGCTTTATTCTCTTTCTAATTGAGCTGAAGACCATGTATCTCTGCTCCTCTCTCTCTCTCTCTCTCTCTCTCACACACACACACACACACACACACACACACACACACACCACCGATCTCGTACATATTTGCTGACTGAATAAGCAAACACTAGCTTCTTTAGTTGAAGTAAGGAATCTCCCCAGGGGCATGCTTATCAAGCTGCTTAGATCTGGGTCACTAGAGGTTGGGGACACTTCAGGCCTGTGGACAGAACTTCGTGAGCATGAATACAGAGAAGGAAACAATTGCTTGAAAGAATGTGAACGAGAAGAGCAGAGCATCCAAAGAGGCTACAGAGCCCAACATTCACATACAGACAAACAAAATGACGCAGATTCTCTAGAGCAGTGGTTCTCAACCTGTCCAATGCTGCGACCATGAATACAGTTCCTCATGTTGGGGTGACCCCCAACCAAAAATTATCTTCTTGCTTCTTCATAAGCGTAAGTTTGCTACTGTTATAAACCGTTGTGTAAATATCTGATATGCAGGATATCTGAGCTATGACGCCCACAGAGGGGCTCGGCCCGCAGGTTGAGAGCCATTGATCTAGACTTGCTATAGGATAAAGCGTTGCTCTATTTCCTAGCAAAGTTTAATACTGCTCCAAATGTATTTGATGGAGATAAAGAAACACAAAATGAATTTTAACTTTTAATATACCACACTGGAGAGGAGAGGAAAGCCAATGATTACAGAGAATGAGACAGTTAGACCTTTTGTTACTGTGACAGAATGCCTAACAGAAGGAAGGAGAGAGGAAGGAACAGGGAGGAAGGAGAGAGGGGGGAAGGAAGGAGGGAGGAAGGAGAGAAGGAGAAAAGAGAAAAGAGGAAGGGGAGAGGGAGGAAGGAAGGAGGAAGGTAGGAGGGAGGAAAGAAGGAGGAAAGAAGAGGGGAAGGAGGAAGGAAGGTAGGAAGGAAGGAGGGAGGAAGAGGGAGGGGGAGAGAGGGAGGGAGGGAAAGGAGGAAGGAAGAGGAAAGGAGGAAAGAAATAGGAAGAAGGGAAAGAGAGAAGAAGGGGAGGAAGGGAGAAGGAAGAAGGAAAGGGGAAAAGAACAAAGGAGGGAAGGAATGGAGGAAGGAGGAAAGGAAGAGGAAGGAAGGAGGAAGGAAGGAGGAAGGAAGGAATAGTGGATTTTGGCTCCGGATTGCACATGTTTCAGTCTACAGGGCTGTGTGCATGAATCTGCACCAGTGAGAACATGTGGCAGAGAATGCTGCCCTCATGGCAGACAGGACGCACAGAGCTTACCAGACAAGACAGGGACCAGGCCACCAGAGGCCCACTTCCTCCTGCTGGTCCCCCTAGCAGAGTTTCCACTTCCTCAGTCTTGCTGCGGAGAAGGAGGTGAGCTCAGCCCTGAGTGGCTCCATGTACTTGATGCCAAGCAGATTATCCAGACCACAGCAGGAGGGGGGTTCTGGGGGTTTGTAAAATTTAACAACTAATCAGATGATTAATCCACTGATGGAGTCAGAGAACAGTCACTTTCCCCCAAGCTGATTAGCTGGCAGCCCAGCCCCTAGTGGTTAACATTTCATACTCAAGCGACCTACGTACCGTGGACTGTTTTATGTTATCTCCTGTCAACTCAGTAAAAGATTCTTGTTAGTTAGCCTCATTTTAATTGCAAAGAAATGGAGTCTCAAAGAAAACTGAATAATTGCCCAGTATCACTGCCTTGTGAATTCTGATGTGCTGTGTTTCTAAGAACCTGGCCTGTCCTATTTTAGGGCTTTCCCTTTGATTTTACCATGAAGTGAAGCTCTCCCCAAAGATCCCAACTCCTCCATTGTCCTCATCAGCTGCGTGTGTGAAATGCTGCTGCAGCGTGGGTAAGGTTCATATGTGTCTTCTGGTGGTGACAGATGTCAAGTATATGTATGTATGTGTGTGTGTATATATATCTTATGTAACATCATACAATATCAAATAATTATACCAATGTATTAAATACATTTAAATATATATTATTATAGAATATATTCATTATATAATATGTTCATTATACTATTATACTTATTAATTATATAATGTAATTAATGAGTTAATAGTTATAGAATGCAGTTATATAATATAATTATTGTATAATATATTTAATTATTAATATTTTAAATACATTTTAATATACTTAAGTATATATTTAAAATATGTGTGTGTGTATGTAAAAGATGGTCATTTACAGGTCATTTAAAAAAAACCTTTTTAGATGTGTGTGTGTGTGTGTGTGTGTATACCATGTCTCGTGTCTGGTGCTGGCAGAGGCCAGAAGAGGTCATGGATTCCCTCAGTTGGCCTTACCTGTGGTTATGTGTCACCATGTGGATGCTGGGAAACAGATTGGGGCCAAAGCCAGCGCTCTTAGCCACTGAACTGTGTCTCCAGGCCCTGTGGATCATCTTTGAGAAACAGCCAACAGAGAAGATTCAGTGGTCTCCCCAGAAAGGAAATGATACATGTCTGAGGAGATACACGTGCTAACTTGGCTGGGTTCTATCTCCCCATGACACATACTTGTACTGAGGTATCATATGGACAAGTACCGTTTATCAAGTAAAATAAAACTTTCAAAGGCATTTAAACTTCTCTGTTTCATATGTTACTGAGATATAGTCTTCAAGCAACCCAGGCTGAGCTCAAACTTGAATTCTTCCTGACTCAGCCTCTCAAGCGCCTGAACTAAGGGCTCTCTTCTTTTGCATAGGTAGATAGGGCTCCTCAGCTGATTTCAGCAGATGTTCCCCATCCCTCACCCCTGCCCTCCACAGCCCTACCCTCACTTGATGCCCTACACAGCCCCATCCCCCACTCCCTGCCCTCCACATCCCTACCTCCCACCCCCTGCCCTCTACACCCTTTAACCCCCAATCCCCTGCCCTCCAAACCCCTACTTCCCATACCTGGACTAGTGGGAGATCCTGATCTCCGTAATCTTGTCCACATAGTCTGCTGTTTATCTTGTGAAAGTTGTTCTTTGTTTTGTTTTTTGTTTGTTTGTTTTGTCTTTCTGAAGCAGGGTTTCTCTGTGTAGCTCTGGCTGTCCTGGAACTCACTCTGTAGACCAGGCTGGCTTCCAACTCAGAGTTATGCATGGCTCTGCCTCTCGAGTGATCCAGGGAGCGCAGAGATCAATGGTGTGCACCGCCACACCCAGGCAATCTTGCATTCTTTTATAAATTGCCTTGTGGTCTTTTCCCAAGTCAAATGCACACGGTTCAAAGTGAGCCAAATGCCTTTGGCATAGGATAGTTACACACATCCCAACCCTGATGGCTCCTGAATGTGAACTCCTGTGTCTTCACAGAACTGGAAAGCCCTACACTGTCTGTCAACATGGCTGTCAGCACACGTTTTGAGCCTGCAATCGTGATGGCGGCCGGGAAACAACAGGAAGTGATTGAGTGATGGCAGCCCAGTCTGCAAATGGATTCCTGGGTCACTGCAAAGACTTGTGATAGACAGAATTCAGAGTCAGTGTGGTGGTTCATCCTTATAACCCTAGCATCTGAGTGACTGAAGGGGGAGGACTGCGAGTTTGAAGCCAGTTGGGACTAAACACGAAAGTCTGTCTCAAAGAAATTAATGATAACAACAACAACAAACAGCAACAACAATAGTAATAATAATTAGGGGACTGGAGAGAAGGCTCAATGATTAATAGCGCTGGATGCTCTGCAGAGGACCCAGGTTTGATTCCCAGGGCTCCTATGGCAGTTCACAACCACCTGTAACTCCATTTCTGAGGGCTCTGGTGCCCTCTTCTGGACTCTGTGGGTACTGTATGCCCATAGCACAGGCGCAGCCAAAACTACCCAGACACATAAAATTAAAAATAAAGGGAAAAAATAAAGTATGAATAATTGATTGATTTATCTATTAATCAATCAATTAATTGTATTTTGGTGTTTTTCTTTATTTTTATTTTATTTTTATTTATTTATTTATTTAAGAGGCTGACTGCTCTCCCTTCTCCCTGGCTTGCTCTACCATGTTTTGTCTCGATACTGTTGTTATCCAGGCCATCCCTTCTGGTGTAATTGGAAACCTTAATATATTGATGTGTATTCTGATCATTTGATATATTTGAACTATTTCTGCAACTTTTATTCTTGTTTGTTTTTTCCCCCCTGTGTAGCCCCTGGAACTCACTCTGTAGACCAGGCTGGTCTCGAACTCAGAGATCTACCAGCCTCTGCCTCTGCCTCTTGAGTGCTGGGGTTAAAGGTGTGAGCTGCCATTCTCAGTTGCTTCTTTCCATTTCTAAAAAAATTAAAATAATATATTTATTAGGCCCTTCTTTTACTATGTATTTTTATTACAATTTCTTTTCATAAAACATACTTGGATCAGTTTCTTACCTCTGCAGCTTAGAAAGTGTTTCTGTTTCTGATCTGCAGGTGTCCCCAGATGTGTGTCTATAACAGAATATCTGTGAGGCTTCTGTGGGGCCCCTCAGATAGTCTTCATGGAGTAGCCAATCTGAGACAGGGGGGGTGAGAATTTGCATATCATTAAAGTCTCCAGTGATGCCAGATGCCACTCCGCCTAGGATGTGCTTTGACTACCACTATTTCAGAGTGAAGGTTCACTTTCTCACGGTGAGTAAAGACACCACTGAATATATTTCAAGCTCTTCATCATGTCTCATGTCTAACTAGATGCAACAGCAAAACTTTGCAGCCGCTCCTGAAGATTTGTAGCCTTCCCACCCATGGATTCTCTAGGGACCCTCAGGGCTTTAACTCATTTCGTCCTTTGCAGATAAGTGTATGATTCAGGGGAAATGTTGTAGGTTGCAGAATTTACCATCTTGAACCAGCACAATATAACCGGAGCACACAGCTTCATATCTTTCTTTTGCTGACTTAGCCAGGAAATATTGTTCCTTTTCTGTGAGAAGGAGCTATCATAATGTTGCCTAAGATGGCTTGGAACTCCTGGTTCAAGCTATCCTCCTGTCTCAGCCTTCTGAGTAGCTGGGACTACAGCACACACCATGGTGCCAACCTTGAGATGTCTTAGTGTTTCTATTGCTGTGATAAAACACCTTGACCAAAAGTAGCTTGAGTGTATTTGGCTTACATGTCCTGAGTCACATCCATTAAGGGTCATCAAGGCAGGAACTCAAACAGGGATAGGAACCCAGAAGGCAGGAACTGATTCAGAGGCCGTGGAGGGGTGCTACTTATGGGCTTGCTACTCGTGGCTTGCTCAGTCTGCTTTCTTATAGAACCCAGGACCCCCAGCCCAGAACTGGCACTGCACGCAGTGAGCTGGGCATTCTCACATCAATCATCAATGAAGAAAACATACCAGGGGCTTGTCTACAGTCAACCTATCAGAGACATTTTCTCAATTGAAGTTCTGTCTTCTAAAATGATGTTAGCTTGTGTTGAGTCAGCATAGGAAAGAAAGGTTTCTGAGCACTTAGTCTGGGCAAAACAAAGAATTCACTGGTGAGATTGGAGAACCAGGTTCTATGGTGGGTCCACGGGGTAATTGAGCAGATAGGTAGACCCCAGGCAGTAGTCATCACATAGTGAGTACTTCACAGAGAGAGGGACAGGAGAGTGGCATACAATTATAGGGGAAAGCCCTACTTTCAAGCCACGTGCTGACTGCTGGCTTCTTTCCGTGGTATGTGTGACTGGCCTTTCCATGGGAATGTCCTCCTGTGTCTCAGCTTTGTGCTGTGGGGTCAAATAAGTGAGACATTTGAACAACAGAGCTGTGGAATGTTCCTTGGAGAAAGTGCTGTTGGAGGGACCTCGGTGATGCCAGAGACTCGGGCTGAGAGACAGGAGGCCAAGGGCGGGGGTGGACATGCCCAGACACTGAGGAGCAATGTGTCAGAGGCCTAAAGGTGAAAGTCAGCTGGAAAGTTTAGATTCTTTCTTTCTCTAAAAATAGAATGTGAGCCGATCCAGGATTTTAGGGAGTGGAAGGAGGCAGAGCCAGCACCATGGACATGTGTGGTTGAGAGCGTGCTGGGGTTCAGAGCTTCTGCTAAGTGCATTGGGTAGGTAGATGTTCCACCATTTTGCAATGGGCAAGGTTCATAGCGGTACTGGTCTAGCTCCACCTCCTTGCTTCCTGGTGATGGGTTATGTCTTAGTGTCCTCAGAGGAGAAACTGACAGGTCCAAGTCCCCAAGACTCAGAGATTAAGCCCTGTGATACTTTCTTTTCATCTGTCAGTCTTTCCTAAAGATTTGCAACAGGGCGCTGGAGAGATGCTCAGAGTTTAAAAGCACTTGCTACTCTTGCAGAGGAACTGGGTTCAGCTCCAAACACCCATGTGGCAGCTCAAAACTGCCCTTAACTTCTGCTCTAGGAGTTCAGTGCTCTCTTCTGGTGTCCATATTCATTGTGTGTGTGTGTGTGTGTGTGTGTGTGTGTGTGTATGTATGTGTATAATATACATAAAATAAAAAGTAAACTTTTAAAATGAAAATCTTTTTTTTTGGTTTTTTGAAACAGGGTTTCTCTGTGTAGCCCTGGCTATCCTGGAACTCACTCTGTAGACCAGGCTGGCCTCAAACTCAGAAATCCGCCTGCCTCTGCCTCCCAAGTGCTGGGATTAAAGGCGTGCGCCACCACAGCCCGGCTTTTAAAATGAAAATCTTAAAATATATTTACAAAGGAAACACTGTTCAACTTTGCCTTCCCTTACTTTTTATTATTAAAACAATAGTCAAATGAGACTTCTAAAAACTGTTATAGCTTCAAACTAGAATGTTCTCCAAAGACCCATATCTTAAAGATCGGTCTAGTAAAAGCTGAGGTGTA